TTCCTTCCATTTCCTTCAAATTATTTCTCCATACTTTATACCTTCTGTTACCAAAAACATACATTTTCTTTTCCATCATAATTAGAATTCTTAACTCAACCACCGTATTATATATATGACACCGACAAATACAGATCAGAGGTAATGCACATACTCTTATTATTTCCCCATCATCAGTATTTGTAACTTCTGTGAGGGTGCATATCTAGTTTCCTCAGGGAGTGATGAAATAGATGGGGTCCCCAGAGAACTCGGTTTTCCCTCAGAGTCCAAGGGTGAAGGGAGAGGAGAAAATTCTTGATTATTTTGAGATCTCCAGGAAGGCGCTCCTATCATTGGGCCACCTAATAAGTCTAGGTCTTGGTAAAGGACATAGGAGACTTTGCCCCACTTTTCCTGTTTCTTGCAAAAAAAGATCTAATTGTGAGAGGGTATTGTAGTTAAGTGAACCATTTACAGGTCAAACTTCTTGGTCACCCTCCGATTCTTAGTGTGGAGAGGGAGCAGGGCCCCAATGGGTCTCCGCTGCTAGCTGCCTGTTTTGCGGACAACTGGGCTGCGGGGTGCAGGCTGACAAGTGCCTATGCAGCTGGGGCTGAAGGAAGAAAAATATTCTCCCTTTATCGAGAATTGAATGTGGGCACCCTGGGTAAAAGCACTGAACCTTAACCCCAAGACTCCAGGGAACACAATCCTAGCTGTGCCTGAATCTGAAAGCATGTTACTCCGCCTGGAGAGGGGTGCATGTGTGCCCTGTGGGCAGTGCCACCTGGGAAAGCGGAAGTTGGGGGAGGGACAGCAGCACGTGTCTAGGCCCTCCACTGCTAGAAGTGGCAAATGCCGGAGGGGTCTGGGCCCACTACTGCTACAAGCGTGCACAGGGGTTTACCTGCCGCTCCAACAGGTATGCAGGTGGGGCCCTGGGCTCCCTACTGCCAGAGGGAAGGGAAGGAAAGAAAAACTAAGGGGCAAGGTGAGGGAGTAAGCCCTGGCAAGTTTCCACAGCCCACCGCTTCCTGGATTGCGAGCTACCAGCAAAAATGAAAGCAAAAGGCTAAGAGGAAGAAACAGAAGATTCCCATGGGGGCTTACCCATTCTGTTGGGGCCTAAAAGTGCTGCGTAGTCTTTTAATTTGGAGTTGGACAAGGTCCCTTAGCAGGTCTTCTCTGCAATTCCGATGGTGACGTCAGTCAGGGAAGTTAGAGGAAGAAAAGTAAGAAAAGTAGACAGGACCTGTGGACTCCTGCTCAGTTAGAGAACAAGTCTCTCACCAGCCCCCTAGAAATGGTGTCAACCATTTACCCAAGGCCAATTGATCTGCACAGCATAAGGAAATAAATCCCAGCCACTCAGATGAGAAGAGCCTTGGCAAACTTGTGTGGGACGAGTTATGTCCTCTGATCCTTTTGTCGTTGCCAGAAAAGATGATGCAGGAGAAGACGAATTTCCCTGAATGGCAGGGAGACCAAGAGAAGAGGGTCCTTTGGCAGAGAGTGTGGAAAGAATTCAACACACGTGCCAAAGTTAGAGTTAGAAAAGGGGTAACACTCCACAGACAGTGTGGTCTCCTCTCAGAGGCAAAGAGTGAGAGAGACAGAGAAAGGGACACTGAATGTTCAGGGAATTCAGTTATTGTATCATTCTTTAGTTCCTGTGAGTTATAGTTTAAAGACTTTGTTAACCCATTTCCTTTGCTATAGATATACTGTGAGGAAGGGGAAGGGCATGTAGCCTGAAAAGGTAAGAAATACATAGAGTGAAAGCCCTGCTGGCAATTCTTAGCCTTTAATCCTTAGGTTCCCAATGGTTTTAGCCATAAGGAAAGAATGATTTTATTTGTGTAGGGTAGCCACTTAAAGACTGTCCTTCCTGTTTCCCCTTCACAAGATGTGGGAAATGGATCTTTAGCAATCCCAGTAGAAATCTTCCTTTGTTCTGAAGGTGTCCTCCAGGCCAGGCTGCAGGGCTGATCAGCATATTGCCGTCTCTGAATTTAGCTTTGTAACATTTTAATTCTCTTGCCTCCTCCCTACATTACCAGCAGAACGCCAGGATGAGTGAGTCTGCAGGCTTAAACCAAGAACTATACAGAACTCAGATGATGTAATCAGGACCTAGGTTCCCTTTCTCTATTTCTCATCTCTGCTTTCCTAGAATAGGATCCATTCTCAAGGAAACTTTCTCCTCCTAGGGGCACTAAGGCTGCCAACAACACGCAGGGATACAGTCTTTCTAATCTGTGTCCTGTAGGAAGCATACCAGTTATACTGACTAGGATGGGAAATGCTGCCTAACATGTATTTTTTCGTGGTCCCTATCCCATAACCAGGGATAGCATAAATCCCAACTATACATACCTAAAGAAGTTTAATGAAAAAATTCCCCAAGAGAAATTGTTAGATTGGCCGGAGGAATGCACAAGGCTAAAAGGGTTAGCAAGGTTTATTGTAGCAGAGTGACAGCCCCAAATGCGGGAGGGGGCAGGGGGCCTGAAACTTACATGGGGCTTGAGGTGGGCTTTTTTGGTGGGAATATTTGGGGTAGGTAAATTGGCAGGGAAGGGAGGAGAGTCCAGTGAAGCGGGAGGTGAGCATGTAGCCTTGCCAACCCCAATGCAAGGTCCAGTTTCCACACAAAGGTAAGGGAGAAGTCTGGTTCCCACACTACGGGATGGGGTGTGGGGTGCCTTCCAGAATGAAGGTATCGTTGGAAGGGGAGAGAGGCCAGTGAATGATGGTGAGTCAACACTCAAATGCCCCTATACATATGAGAAAGCACTTTGTCTACTTGAAATTATTGTATGGCTACATGGAGGAAGATGAAAGCTGAGACCCAGTCAAATTTTATTAGTTGTTTTGGCAAGATAGACTGGAAGGATGTATAGGGAGCCACTCTCCCATTCCTTGCATTTCTAGAGGTGTCGATCCTTTCTTACTCAGTCCTAGGAGTGTGGCAGTATGACCTAGGAAATATAGCCATGTGACCAAGGCCATGAAATTCAGGCCTAGCCAGTCAGAGAAGTTCATCTTCCAGACCACAGAGATTATTCAAAGCTTGGTAGTACCCAGGGTCAGGTAACTTTCCTACTAGAACTACTAGTAAAGACTCTTCTCTTCCTTTGGGATTGTTGACTCAAGGATGGTTTAAGTTGAACCTCCTGATGGCCATCTTCTCTGACACATAAAGTTTACTTTCTGAAAAAAGAGCAAAAGGTAACTATGAAAAGAACGGCAGAGAGGAAAGAGAGTGAGAGTCCTGATGACACTGTTAGAAAGAGTCAGACATACTTAAAACTGGAAGTCAGTTTTTTTCTTTAAATAAATACAGTAATTTAATTTTTGCTTAAGATAGTTTGTATTGAATGTGAATCCTAAGTAAAATAAGACGTCTAAACCTCAATTGGATGTTAGATCTATGTTTAAAAAACAAAACAAAACAAAACAAAAAAACCCTGGACCTTCTTGGCTCCTTGAAAATCCAGCAGTGTATTAGGTACATGTTTCATCGCTCTCAAATTCTCTATGATATTCAGGAGTTGGTCTGCTGAGAGCATCCAGGCTCTTTAGAGGGCAATGCAGCCTAACTCAGTGGGTGCCAACCAGACTCTTCAGTAATCCAGTACAAATTGCCCTTTATATAAGTACATGCACACATGTACTGTTTCTTACATATTCTATGCACATACACAATTGATGGGTTCAACATGCTATAATTATCCAATGTCCAGCCACCAAACTTCCCGTGAGAAGACGAGTTAATTATATTTGGTATCATGGCATACCAAGTTGACCACTCAGGGCTGGACTCCTTTGGATTCAGATGTCTGGGTATATCCAGCAGATTGCTGGGATTGGTATACATGGAATCAACTTGTGAGGAGCATGACAACAATAAAAATGTGTGAGAAGCAAAAAGAGAAGTACCCGTCACCTTCCATGGGGCACTAAGAGTCCAAGGCAGCATCAGCACCCTCAGCTCACTGAAGCCAGCAGCTGCAGGGTCTTCGAGGGCATCTACAACTGTTGGCTACTCACTGAAGCCAGCAGCAAAGCTGGGATGGAGGTAGGTTTACAGTGCCTGCAGGGTCTTCGAGGGCATCTACAACTGTTGGCTGAGGTGTGGGAATTAAGAGACATCTCTGAGGAACCCCAGAAAAGAATGGGGCTCCTGACTGAACTTCAATTTCCTCAACTATGAAATGAGGGGTGGGAACTGACCCCACCTATGTCTATAATTTCATCTTTTCTATACAGAGGGAACCAAAGCAGGAAAAGAGACTATGAGTTAGCTCTTGGAACTGACGGATCTTTGCAAAAAGAAAAGTCAGTTAATGGTACATATGGGGACAACTGGGGCATGCTATTAGCAAAGAGGTTTTTCAAGTCATTTGAAGTAGAACTTCTAAGACCAAAGGTCTGTGACAAGCCATGGCTCATGTCCAACCTGGAAATTCTAGAAGTTTCTAGAAAGACAGAAAGCTACTATTAATAAAAGCAGCATTTGATCACAAATACAGAGTCAATGGAACAGTACACTATTTCCTTTAAATGTTGACATTGATATGCTTCACATTACCCAATCTTATAGAATGAGCACAATCCACATTTTATTATAGTGTTTATTTCATCGAAAAAAAATTGAATGAAATACTTTTATATTTGGTTATTGATACTAACATATAAGAGGAGCTACTGAAATAAGACTACACTATAGGAAGTTACAAACCGTCTGGGAGGGGAGGACCCTAAATAACTGAACTTGAGCCATTGTTGACAAATATGATTATTCCTAAAGATTCATCCCACATGGCTTTCCCCGCATCCTATGTTCCAACCCTTCTGATCTTCTCTCTACGTCTCTTTTCTATTTGTTCCTCTGTCCTTCTACTCCTTCTAGTGCCCATTAGTGTGATCTCACACCTCTCCATTCCTTTCAACTCTCTGTCTTCCCCCCACCCTTCTGTCCCTCCACCCCACCATCCTCCTTCCAGTGTCCCCATTTCTGTGCTCCCCATCCTGCTGCTCCTACCTTCCTTGTCTATAGTTCCTTTGTCCCTCTGTCTTTTCCGTTAGAAGCTTCCATTGGTGTCTCTGCTTTATTATCTTTGTCCACAGCTGGACATTTTTGCTCCTCTTTCTGTTTATTACTCAAGCTGGTTTTGACAGAAAATAAGTTCTTGCTGGGGGATTTCTTATTTTTTGAATGTACCATCTTAATTACTACATCACTCAACTGAACACTCTTTAGCAGATTCTTCATGTTAGACTCATACAGGGACAATTCCAAATCCCAGGTCCTTTTATGCTTTATAGAGCTCATTTGTTCTTTGAAATTCTTCAGATCTTGCTTTAGCGAGGGTGAAACTTTGAAGCAGAACATTAGCTCAAAGTTTGTGGAGCTCTCTTTTTTTGATATGTCCAATAAAAACTGCATACTGAGGGTCATCTCCTCACTCCCCACCTGCTTCTTTTCATCCAGCAGCCTATTCACTTCTCTGAGGGACCCTTCACCCAGCTGGCTCTTATCCTCTTTCACCAGGTAGGACATCGCATGGAAAAATTCCTGGAAGCTAATGTGGCGGAAGCTGTAGAACTTTTTGATGTTAAGGCCCTCTTGGTAATCAATGCTGCTCAAGAAAGCGGCAAGGCTGGGTCCATCTAAATTGTGCTTCTCGAGGTCAGCCTCTTCGAACAGGAATCTCTGGTGCTGGATCCCCTCGGCTGCCAAGGAGCACAGACCCTTTAGAACCTTGTCTCGGGTAAGCTTGGAGCAGTCCCTGTTGTCACTGGGCGGCAGGAAGGTGGAGACATAGGCCATGAAGATGTCAGTGCCATCACTGGGCATCTCTGAGACCACTCCGCCTCTCTCCATCTGCCCCTTCAGCCACGAGCAGACCACCCAGCAAATGCCTGGAATCTGGCACGCTTTGTAGAGGAAGTCATTTCCCCGTGCAATGTCTAAGGCGTTTCTGGCTTGCTCCTCATCTGTGAAATAGGATCTGAAATACCTTTCCTTCTCCTCCATAGAGAAACCCAAGATGTGAAGGTGGCGTGGTTGTTTCAGCAAGGGCTCCAGGTTCCGCAAAGCCAGGGGCCGAGTCGTGATGAGAAGAGAGGACAGGGGAAGTACTTCTCTCCTTATCAGACGGTGCAGCATGTCCTCTACGGGACTGGGCCCCGGCCTCCTCAGCCTCTCCGCATAGGACCGCTGCAGTTCATCGTAGCCGTCCAGGATGAACAGGAGCCGTTCTGGTTGCTGCCTCTGAATCTCTGCGACGGGTGCTTTATTGTCCCCACAGCACCAGATGAGGAGCTGGTCGAGTGTGCTCTCCTGCAGCAGGGTCACTTCTCTGCAGCTCACGTAAAAGACATAATCAAACCGGCCTGGGTACAGGGTGCCAGTGGCCCAGTCCAGCACCATTTTTCTGGCCAGTGTTGTCTTTCCAGTGCCCGCAGATCCCTGTATCACCACTGTGGGCGGGCCTTGGTTGGGCTTTTCCCCTGGATCAAACAGAGCCTCCACTGTGACAGAGTCCACCTCCTGCCCCAGGATGGGGCTCCCTGCGCAGGGCTTGGCCACCAGGAGCAGCTGGTAGTAGCTGTGGTCGACTCCCTCTTCTTGCCTCTCCTCTAGGCAGCGCACATGCTCTCGGTATATTTCTCTGTAATCTGAGCCAAACAAGTTGCGTATTAGGTGGTGAGACAGGAATAAAAAAAGACAAAATGGCCCTATGAGCTCTGAGCTCTGCTCTTTAGTCTCATCTTCTATGCTAACTTGTATCCCACTGAGTTTATACTTCTAGCTGCATGGGGAGGGACCACTGTACACGTGTATGAGTGTGGGTCCGTGTGTGTGTGCACGTGGGCACATCTGTTAAGTGTGCGTGAATATCCGTGGGAATGGTTGTATCCACATGTGCTCATGGGAGTGTACTTGTGGAAGCTTGTATGTGTTTGTGTAGAGAAGACATGCCACTGTACGCCAGCAAGTATGTATTTGTAAGAATATGGTTACATACAAAAGCCTCTGTGTGTGTGAATGTCTTGAGTGTTCATGTGAAATTCCCCATCTGAAATGGCAAGAAAAGAGAGGACAAAGGAAAAGGAAGCTGTAAGACGGTGAAGCCATAGGAGCCTGTTCTGAGTGAAGGTCGGGCCAGGTGCTGTAAGGGTAAACCAGCTTCTGAGCCAGAACCCCGACTCTGAGTCTATGGAACCTCTCACTTCTATGTCAGAGGAGCTCTCAAGTGTGAAAGAGCCTACAGAGGGAGCACAGGCACCAACAGACTCTCGCTCCTCTTCAGCACCCCACGAGAAGGGATAGGAGGCCTTTTAGGTTCCATGCCCACCCCACTCTCTAAGGCACCATCAATCAGTCCACCAGTTCCTTGAGAGAGCAGGGCACAGAAGTGGGCTGTCCTCTCTGAGAAGCAGCCTGAGCTGCCTGCTGGGAGAACAGCGAGGGAAAGGTCTGCCCCCCATGCCCTGATGTCATTTCTTCTGGGTAGGAGAAACCCCTTCACCAACACCATCCCCTATCTCCAAGCCCCTTTCTCCATACTCTCCCATTCTCTGGCACTACAACTGGAGATAGGAGGGAGACCATTATGGCCATAAGATACCCTAATCTTTCTATAAACAAATCCCCACCCTCGCGAGGCTCAGGCCTTTCACCCCACAGCTGTCAGGGTCTTCAGCCGGAGACCACCAGGACCCTCAGGCATTGGGAAAGAATGAAAGCAGGTACAACTTATCAGCCATGGTAGTTTCTGGAAATGTCATGGTAGGGAGGGAGTCCCAGTACCACCCTGACCTCCCCTCGCCCCTGCCGCCCTCACCATTTAGACAAACGTGGCTGAGCTGGTCCACGAGTTCTAACAGGTTCATGACCTTCAGCACCTTGAGCACCACTTTCACAGCCTCCTGTGTTCCATACATCGAAATCAGCCGAGAAGCCAGGTCCACCCGACTCAGGCCCTCCAGCTCCCCTCGGGCCAGCACCGGGCCCCCAAGCAGGGTTCCGTCTCGTAAGTGGAACTTTAATGTCTTGAAGTCGTATTCCTCAAGGTCATTCAAAGCCTGGAGCAATGCCTCCCGTGGGTTGCTGGCCAGGGCCATGGTATTTGGGGTGAAGAGTCAAGTTCAGACCTGTGATCTGGAGGAGGGGGAGCTGGGTGGGAAGAGAGGAGAAGTCACCATTGAGGAAAGAGCAGCCTAAAGGCACCTCGGTCTACCCTGTTTTCTGGGTGCTCGGAAAGCTGCTGAGCACAAGCCAAGGAGAGACGTGACATGTGCAAGGTTCCAAGAAAGAGGGGTGGGTGAGATGGCGGGGGAATCTCCCTCATCTTTCCCTGCTCTGCCTCTTTGTCAACTGACATGTGTGTTTGTGTGGCAAACAGAAGTGAGGTATGAGGGTGTGTCAATCTCTATCTAACTCTCTATCTCTCTCCTCTCTCCCTCCTACACACATTGTTTATCAGGCCCCGCATACCTCCTTAGACAGTTTTGGTTAAGAAAAAAAAATTATATTTTTCTAGGACTGCTGAGGTATGACATTTTTGCTAGGGCTGCTGAGGTACAGCAAGAAGGTAAAAAAAAAATCTATGCTCATCATCCCATTGGCCTCACACATCAGCCTCATGGACTTAGTTACACATAGGATTTCAAAGCTGGAAGTCTTCTCATTCAGATAAAGAGACTAGTTCAAATCATGGCAAAAGAAATGGCCACTTTGAGGGCTCACTCTGTGCTGAGTGATTTACATGTATTATCCCTTTTGATCATCACAGGAACTGTCTTGAGGATCCTTCCAGATGAGAAATTTGACAGTCAGAGAAAAATGGTTTTCTAGAATTTTCCAGAGCTAGACCAGTGGGCATAGAGGTGAGATTTAAGTCCTGGTCTATGATCTGGGTAGATAGACAGAAAGAGAAGGAAAGACATAACAGACAGGTGAAGGAACTAGGTTTGAGTAGCATTTAGTTGAGCTAAACGCTACCTGAAACTGGAGAGATCTGTAGAGACTAAAGCCGAAAAGGAAAGAGAGCAGTGTCTTGATTGTAATTAAGATATAGAGCTAAAATGATGGCAGGGTGGCAGTCTTCAGAAGTTAAGCAACAATTCATAGAAAGCTTTCAGAGTCCAGAATTATACCTATGATCTAAAGCCAATGGGGAATCCATCTTAGTCGAAAATGTCTGAGAGTGAGCAAGAGGTATTTGGGAATGGGGAAAGTTGCTGAGATTCAAATATAAACATTTTCAGTATATACCAAAAGGAGGGAGAAAATTTTAGTAAAATGTTAGGATACAGGGACTTTGGCTGCAAGTTACAGGACAGTTTGGAAACATAAGCCAGTTGTTGCAGGAGCAATATACAATACAGCCTCAGGCTCCCCTGCAAATCACTGCTGTTGGCAGAGCTAATTCAGGAAAGAACAAGAAAGAACAAGTGCCTGCCAAGAAAATATGCGGTCTAGGCTGTTCAGTCATTTTAGGCTGGGAGACCTGAAGATGAGGCCAGAACCATGAACTCCCTGCAGTAGGAGCCCAACAAACAAGGTTCTGGGAACTGAAACAGATCAGATCCCTTTTTCTGATCAGACAGCTTCCTAAGCCAGATCTGAGTCCACTTAGCCCAAACCCATGAGTTCACTCTGCTTGGTGATGCTGGTATTAAAGGACTACTTGTGACCGCCCCCTCCCCCAGACACCTACCCTCTGATACCCACCAGGCCCCAGTACGTGTGGGACTGGAATAGAGGAACACACACACATTCCATCTGACTGTCAGTGGTGAACATGCTCACCAGGGGAGAATGTGACCTCATTCTTCCATACATTTCAGTTGAAAAACAAGGGAGGGGCTGAAGGGATGAATTCTTCTGTCACCAAGAAATACACAGTCCAGCAGGCCGTCCTTCTCCCTCTCTGAAACCCCAGCCCTCTCTACGACTTGACTCCAGGCCAGGCTGGGGCTGTTTGACTTGAGAGACAGAGGAATTGGGGCCCTGCCACCACCATGTCCTCGCCCACGGCCCCTCTTCTTTAAGTTGTTGAAACCACAGGAGGTTGTGCTCCACCAAAGTGGAAAAGGAGGAAGACAGGACACTTCCATGAAAGAGGAATCCGGACGAGGAGAAAACAAAGTCCTAGAAGGCAGCTGGTCAGAGGGTCTGGAGAGCTGCCGGCCCAGGAACCCTGACAGAGTAGAATGGGGGTTTCAGAAAGACCATCTCCAAGCAAAAAAGAAAAAAGAAAAAAGAAAAAAAAAGAAAAGTCAATAGATAATGCCTAAAATTGACAAAGCAAAAGGTAGAAATATACATGCATTTAGAAGTGCCGAGAGGTAAGAAGAAACAGTTTAAAATCTAAAGTAGTCTACTGCCGTGCCACCCTAAACAAACCCGATCCCATCTGATCTCAGAAGCTAAGCAGGGTCGGGCCTGGTTAGTACTTGGATGGGAGACCACATAGAAAGACCAGGTGCTGTAGGCGTAAAAAGTAAAAATAAAAAATAAGGGATTGTAAATTGACAAGGTCCTTGCAATCTGTGAGGTCAACCAAGGGTCGCTTCACCTAATAAATAAATAAATAAATAAATTTTTAAAAAATTAACAAAGAAAGGATAGGAAGTAAAGAAATGGAGTTAATATCTACATAGAGATGCAAAAAGGAAAAAATAATGTCTAGAAAAAATTTTTAAGACACAGCAGCAAAAAGAATCAGAGGTCGTGAGGGGGTGATGAGTCAAGTTTTTGTCTGTTTTAACATGGAAGAGGATGGCAAATGCTGACAAAACAAAACAAAACAAAACAAAACCATCCAACAGAGGGGTCAAGTTAGAAATGCTGGTGAGAGAAAGGAGTAATGGAGGAGAGAACAGAGAATGCAGATCGGGAGAGGGTTCAAAGCTTTTGGCAGGAGGATGGAGAGAACATCATCCATGCCCCAAGAAAGTGAGAGAGGTTGTTCGGCAGAGCAAGGCAGGTCTGTGGGGTCTGTGGGCAGAAGATGAGGATAATCATGATTGGCGGTCCCCATGAAAGATGAGTAAGAGCATCCCCTAAGGGTGAGAAGGCTAGGCGAGGAGGAGAGAAGTTGTGAAGTAGCTGCTGGAGCCTCTCTCCCATGCAGGGCCCAGTCCAGGGCCTCCAGTGCCCACTGCTCAGCAAGTTCTCCTAGAGTCCAGGGGAACAGGCAGGAATGGGAATTGGTCTCTTCCAGAGCCTTAACCAAGCTGTGGCTAGAGACAGAACCTAGACAGCAAGAACCAAGCCCAAGAAGCCAAGATGAGAAATCAGAGTGAGACATAGCTGCCCACGCTGTGTGACAGAAACAGAGAAGTGAGATAGATCACTTACTGTGAAGGCTCTCAGGTCTGCCTCCTCTACAAGATTCCAGGTCTGGAGCTCATAGGGCCAGGGAGTGAGAGTTGCACTTGAAGGAATTAGAAATGAGATACAAAAGAACCAATTCTAATTGGATGGTGGAAGCAGGAAATGAAATGAGGACTCCTTCCCTGTTAACCCTAGCCTGGCTGTGGGCAGAACTGACAACTGGCACAAATGAGTCCCAGACAGGGAAGCAGTAGAGACAAAAGAGGTAGAGGCCAAGAGTAGAACCAGAGAAGATATACAAAGAAGAATGAGAGAGAAATGAGAAGACAAAATAGAGAGAGAAACAGATAGATGAAGGTAGCTGATGGGTATGGATCTCTCTCGATCTCTCTCAATCTCTCTCTCTCCTCTTTCTCTCTCTCTCTCTCTCCTCTCCCCACACACACACACACACACACACACACACACACACACACACACACACACACACAATTTATATGCTCTATAAATAGGGTCCAGCCTGCCTGGATCCCTCAGTCAGCCACCGAAAAGCTAGCATCCTGGGTGTATGCACTCCCTTGTCCTGGCCAGTCAGCATCCCTAGAAGACTGTGGCAACAGTCTTTCTCCTTCTGCTCCTGAGCTACATGGCTGGAGAAAAACACAAAAGCCAACCAGAGCCTTAAGGTCTCCAGGCTCAGCTGAGTCTTTCCATAATTGATCAATGCCTTTGATGGCTCACTCTTGGCCCTTCTTCCAAATATCACCCATTGCCCCAAGGCTGAACCCTACCGATGCACTACCATTCTCAGCAGATCATCTTGCCTCCCCGAGAAAAACATCATTTGGCAGGAACTCCTGCAGCTTCCCTTCCCTCTCCAAGTCAAAGTGTCTCTGATCCTTCATCCATCCTTTTCTCCTTTCTCATCAGAGAGAAAGTCTTTAGGCCATCAATGTAAAGACAAAGTTCTGGGTGGTGAAGTGTCCACGCTCAACTCAAATCAACACATACATGGGAGGTCCCAAGGTTGTGCCTGGTCAGTCTGGGGCAGCAATACCTCTTCATCGGGGGTGGTTCTCTCTTCTGGATTTCTCCCCAAGGAATGGTCACCTTAGCCCAGGGCACCAGCCTGGGCTAAGGCAGACACCAGCCTGGGCTAAGGCACCCATAAGGGAGGCCACCAGGCCAGGGCCACCTCTCCAGCATGTCCTTCATCCTGCCGCAAACCATCCCTCTTATTTAGGCTTTTCCATTTGGATCCCCCTTCTTGCCTCTTTCATTAGATAGCTCCCCTTGATCATACTTGTATATTCAATCTTTCTCTCTCCTCAAGAGTCTTATTCTTAGTTTAAAATATACTTAAAGCTCTTCCAGCCTAAACTGTCCCCCTCTCAAGCTGCTGTTCCCACAGTTACTGCCTTAAATGTCTCCTTTTCTTTCCAGCAACTTCCTTGAGAACTGAGTAGCCAGCACTCACTGCCATCTATTCAAATTGACCATTCTCTCACACCTGAATTCTGGTTTTCATACCAACTCTGCCCTCAATTTCACTGTCAGTGCTCTAGGTTTGCTAAAGATCCAGGTCATCAAATCCAAGAGTCACTTTTCAATCCTCCTCTGATAAGCTATTCGCCTGTGTTTGGGGGAATTAAAAAAAAAAAGTTTACCCAGAGCACTGACAGGGGAACAAGGGCATGTGAATTCTAACTATAGAAAGTTTGCTCCAAGGAGAAAGCAGATCTTGGGCGTAAGAGTTGAGACTAAGAAATCCAAAATCACC